ATCTCATCCATGTCTTTATCTGTTTTATCGAATTCTATGCATGCGTCGAAGACTTGCTCACATTTCCCTGTGAGCTCTGAGCTAAGTCAGCTGCGCACACCCTTAGCACGTCCCTCAGAATCACATAAGCCAACCGCATTTCGCAACAATCGCATAGCTGATTATCGGTTATTGCTTTAGAAAATCCGCATTTTCGTATCATTGAAGCAGTCAGAATTTGTGATAAATTTTGTGTCTGATATTTCGAGTGCATTCTATCTCACACTAAAGTGCCTTCTAGCAGACGTTTTGGACACCTTTTCCTAGTTTGAGCCCCCTAATGTCACTTGCTGTAACAAATTATTTGGCTTCGGCGATACGTTTTTTACAATCAAAGAAAAGTTTTCCATATCCAGGTCACGAATGCCGCTCCAATTGATTTTGCGAGGATGTAATGGGAGTGATTGCTTTCTGAGTCCTTTTGAGGTAATTTCCAAATCCACTGTGTGAGGAAACACGTAAATAAACCAGCTGTTCCAAAAGATTTCTCACCCTTTTCTACAGAGACACTACTCCGAGCCACCGACAGCCATTTATACACGAATTCCGCGCGCAAACTGGCCTCATAGTTGGTTTAAACAACTTCTTATTAGCCTGCGGCCGCGTGGGACGTTCCCAAAGGCACAAATAATTAACATCAAATGCTGAAACATCATGTTAAATTTTATTTTTTTCGAATCACGGTTTCAGATAAATTTTTGGGTGCGCGTCCAGGACGCGGCCATTGAATGCCTTGCCTAATGTAATAAGATATCGCAAGTGGCGGAAAAAGTTTTATCACTTACAACGGACGGAACTTGCAGATGGTTCTGCGGATGAAATAATCCGTTGTACGTTCTAAAAACTGGATGGCGCCTGTGAAAGCAGAATACGTTGGGATAACACTCCTTTAAATAAAATCGCGAAAGCCGCACTCATTATCGTGGGGGAAATCGTGCAAGCTTATCGCTAAATAAGAGTTTCCGTTGTACCTTGCGAAATATGCCAGGGGGACTACGGCGTTGATTACAGCGAACAGCTGAACGAACCTAACTGAAGTACACGTTTAACATGCGGCTGATGTTGACGATGCCTAATCAGCTAGCCATGCGGTAATAACACCGATCATCCAGTCGTCTTAAGTGTTAAGAATCTTGCCGAATTAATCAGCCACAAACTGCCGCGCTTTACTCGACAGCCTTCCATACTTCAGCAGAGTCCCGCAGGTGCCCAAATACTCTTTGGTTGGTCGTTGTCTCACGGTAACCAGATCGTAAAAAACCTACAAGTTAATAGGTGACTGCGAGATTCACGGATTTACGGATTGATACACAGGATCGAGGCTTTGCACAGGTTTCCCGGGTCGGTTTTGTATTTGTTGGTCCGTGGCTGTCGTCCACCTGAAAGGCACAAGTTAAAAGGAGTGTAGCACTGCTCTTTATGTTCTCAGCGTGGGGTAGCATGATTGCAAGCGCGAGGATTCACGTAAGTAAATGTTTAATAGTGTTTTAAACTGGTTTCTAGAAGGAGGGTGGACATTTACCCACATGCTACCCGAAATGAGAAAAATTTTGTCTAATTAATGTATGCGCACTGGGCTTGAAAATCCTCTTACTATGTCCTCCCCGTGTGTTTACTGGGTCAACGGTGAAATCCTATTTGCCAAGCTTTGTTTAAACGGAGCATAATCAACAGTTAAGTCCCCTCGGAGGCGACGGTACTCCAAGGGAATGAGATGAAGCATCGCGATACGCGTTTCGTAGTTCATGGATTTGAGGCCGGCAACCAATCTCGTGGCCACTCGCTGGACACGCTCAATGAGGGTGGCGTTTTTCGTGCGTCCTGCGTAGACAACTTGGTTGGCGTACTCCAGGAGCGGTCTGCCGTAGGCCTCGTAGAGCATTTGGAAGTCCATTCGAGTAATACGGGAGAGGGTTCGCGGATCGTCCGTAAAATGCTGAATGCATTTTGGGACGATTCATCATCGTGCAGTGGGAAGGACACGTTTGAGGAGATCCAGATGCCCAAATCCTTTTTGGTATCTATCCTCATGATGTTTTCTGGTCCTTTCTCCCATGCCTAACGAAGGTATTCGCTGAATCACTTACAAACCACATATAGACGCACTTTTCATCATTCAGAGGAAGGTGTTAGTCAAAAGACCACTGCTTGGCATCGTCTACGTCCATTTGGAGGGCACTGGCATTTGAAATCCAGGATCTCGAGTCATCCTCAAAGGGTAGATGAGTACTTGCAGGAACATCTAGGAGGTCGCTGACGTAGATCAAAAACAGCGCTAGTATCAGGACGGGGCCCTGAGAAACTCCAATGGAGACCGGCGCTAGAGAGGAGTAGGTCGAGCCTATTCTCACTCGGAATGATCTGTCTGATAGGAACGCCTTGATCCAGCGAAGGATTTTCCCTTGAATCCCGTAAGGCTCGAGTTTGTGGAGAGGGAGGGCGAATTGTGCGATCCGATATGAGTCTTTCGTCCTTGGATTAGATTAGGCTGTCCATAAACCCGGGCATCTTTGTCAGGCAAGAGCGGTGTGGGAGAAATCCGTGTTCAGCTGGAGATATCAGCTTGCTGAAAGTAAGGTGACCAAACGCCAGGTGTAGATGATTTGTGAGGCTGGAGCCCGTTTCATTCAGGAAACTTGGACGGTGGTCGTGGGGCCCCAACGCGCACAATGCGTTGATATAATGCAAGAGATGAAGACAAAGTCGGTTAGAGACTGCTCGTAGTTCCCCCGTTGACAAGAGTGGATGTGACGAAGAGGCTGGGGCTGAGTACAGATACGCATAGTGTTCTCCGCAAACCTCGGATACCACCGCTGTGTCATTCGTCAGTTCTCCTTTTCTGTCCCTCAAGGAGAACGCGGATGGCTTGTTTCTGCGCCGGTATCTCATGTACTTGAATAAGACGTTTTTATTTTTTCGAGGGAGGTCCAAAATGGTATGTTTCAGGATTTCCGATTTACAGCGGTTTGGCATTTCACGACATGCCAGCTCATCTTCTGTATCCCCTGTAGTCAACTTTTTGTAATGTAAATTGGATCTTTCTTCCAGAAGTCGCCGAATCCTTTTTGGCAGCCTACGGTTCATCCGAGTGCGTGCCTGTTTTTCTTAGATGAGCGTCGTGTCAGCCTCGTGAACTTTCTGGACAATGGTCCTATATAGTTCTTCCACCGGAGCCGGTCCCAGTGTGACTTGTTCAAGGAAGATGCGCATTCCTGAGAAATCTGCACGGCAGAAGTCTCGAAACCACGTTTGAAGTTCGGGATTTCTGGCCCAATAACGGATGAAATCAAAGGTCAGCACACAGTGGTCGCTATGCCCAGTGGAGCGTTAATTGTTACCTGATCAACGAAGTGTCTTTCGTTGGA